GAGAAAGTTCGGCGAAAAGAAAGAAAGAAAGTGGGAACAGAGAAAGAGAGAGAGAGAGAGAGAAGTTATTCGCGGTGCTCGTAATTGGAGTCCGAAATCCTGAAATGTGAGGCGCACGCTGGACCACCTGTCGAAATGGATCCTGGAACGATCTCGAGGGCGAGGTGGCCGTCGGAGCCAGCAAAAAAAGAATTCGCGCAAGATATATATATGTATATGCATGTGTGTGTGTGTGTGTGTGTGTGTGTGCGTGCGTGCGTGCGTGCACGAGACGATTGAGGATGCCAGGGCAAATTAAAAAAAATGTAGGCATACGACTATCGACGAAATCTAGAAACACCGCTTGCCACGAGGAGGCAGTTATCGACGAAATGTTGTCGAGGAGCTTTAACGGTATGCGGGACCGGTCGCGCGAAGTTGCCCGTAACGGCGGAGAGGCGTTGAATTTACTGATCGGCGGATCTTGTCGATTCCGCGCGTAAGCCGTTGGCGTACATTGTTGCCGCGAGAAAGTATCGCGACGCGGATCCATTGGTCGCTTTTGTTATTAACTCGTTTGAATAAATATATACTCTTACGGCGCGGCGAAACGGCCCGTGTAAAAAGAGCGCTCTCTCGCATTGTTGCAGATATTGTGTTATTTTTATGCGAGGACAGGCTTTATGTTATGTGTATACACGCCGTTGTGCGGCTCGAAAATGAAGCGAGCGGCCCGGCGCGGGCGTTGGCGTGAACTTACGAGTTTGTTTGCGCCACTCGCGACAACGTAATCCTAAATTTTACCAGTGCTCAAATTTCCACCTCGTCCGCGATCACAATGTATTAATTTAACAATTACGGCTCGGATACACGTGAATCCGGTATAGCCAACTATCAGGCTCGATCCCGCCGTTTGCTACGAGGTGCGACATTCTCGAAGATTATCGGCCAAAGCGACATAATCCAATTACTATGTCACTTAACGGACCCACTCTCAAAGTAAGGGGGAGATAAAGATACCCGAGATAAAGATATCTAAGGTATTCGATCACCGCGTTTTCCCTTCTCGTTTAACAAGTGACTGACCGTAGTAGGGGAAACCGGGACCAGAAGTCACGCTTTTTACGTTTGAATTAAAATAAAAAAAATTTACTCACTATGTCTAATTAAAAAGAAAAAAAGATGTTCGTAAATATCACATGCAATACCTGAGCCGTGAATTATTTCGTACATCCAACTAACATGATATCATCAACTTCCATTGTCGAGAACAATATGTTCCTTCACTTATTTACTGATTTACTGTGACAACTAACCCCGGTGTATCTATAGATTTGTCGTAGAAAAATTTATCGTAGACAAATATTTCTTCATCAGTATTTAAACAGATTCAAAATATTCGTCCTTTATTCTACGATAAGTCTGTGACTTCGAATACCAATTTTATGTTATACATCTTTTATCATCTTTATTCGCTATATTTTTTTTAGTCATTTTATCAGCAAAATTAATCTACAGATTATCGGAATGACGAAGACGCTCTTGGTAATTCTAGTCACTTTTCATCGTTACATTTATCGTTATACGATGGTATACGATATTATATTATAACGTCTTGGTTCGATACATCTTACACCTCAAAATGATCTTACGCGGCATGAGGGATATGAGAGGATCTTTTAGTGGCGCATTCGCAACGGATCGCAAAAGCGATCCGCAGAATCTAACAAGATTAAACGATCGCGCGGAGTATCATCTATGGAGGAAGTTACGACTCGAGGCGGAGTGCCTGTCGCTTCGTTCTTATTTTCGTTTATGTCTGATAGCCGATCGGCTTTGAAACGGTAAAGCGATGAAGCGAGCGTGCATTAAGCCGCCGTTGTATATTAAACCGCGATCGTGGGTAGCATGCGGTACGAGAGATGAAGCGCGAGCGGCACAGACATTGCGGTCAACTGAAACGATTGGCCGATCGTGGAAAACAGTGGCGGACGATCGTGCTTTCTACGGAGAGGAGGGAATGAACCGTGTTTTATATGATCGTCGTCTTGAGGCGGCACGATTACATCAATGTAATACGTACGATAGGCAAGGATCAAGTTCCAAAATCGGGGAAAGGTCGGTTATTAATCATGCGGTATCCTCACTCACCGCGTCACGTCGTCGCAATATGTACTAAGTAAATTATTGTGCCATAATAGATAAGAATGATATGATTTTATTGTTATTAAGTATCGCTATATTGGAAACTCTTAAGTGACTTCTGAAATAAAGTTGGTGCAACGTAATGTTCAGTGTTACACGAAATACACGCTCGACGATAAACGTGTGCGTTCAATTAAATAATAACATAAATCGAGAGAGAGAGAGAGAGAGAAGTGTTACTAATGTGATCAAACGCAGTCTTTGTGTCGTTAAAATTTTAGTTGCCGGTGAAACGGAAAGGGCAAAAGGTTATTAATTCTGACATGCAGGTTGAAGGGACTACCTAACTAGCTCGGCCTCGGCTCGTTCAAAGATCAAAACAATTTACCAAGATAACTGTAACAGGGAACTCGCGCACACTGGCCAACATTAACACGCATTGGTCTAGGTGGTCAATCTCGGCGCGAGATGATTGATAACCCTCTTGTAAGCGTTATCAGCTGCGGCGTGCACGCTGTTATGTTCACGTCAGGAACGTGACGCTGATAGACGGGCCTTGCCTTCCTCCCCCCTCTCTTTTTTCCTTCCATTCGGGCTTTCCGGACGACTTGTTGCCGTTAATTCAAAGCTACGTGTTGACGTGTTAAACTCGTCTTTACCCATTCTTTTATATATATATATA